CAAAGCTCTGGCGCCTCCTTCAAAATATCTGCATTGGAGTCGAAGTATCGTCGACAAAGGGTGGCAATTCGAAGTATCAAAAGGCAATCTATCTGAAGGGGGAAAAAGTTAACAAATAACCGAAGTATTAATAAAATACATATTTATTCGAAATGCCATGCCTTGTGCTTGACGTTGAATTTCCGTTTTAAGGAAAAGCCTGTAACAATGATCTATTTGACGCAGAGCTAGAATTCGGTTGTACAGATCAATTTGTGCCTTCAATTTCCTCTATATATCGTAATCATCCATTAACGAAAAACAAAACAAAGCTCACTTGTATCTCTGGACTTTTCGAAATATCCTTAAACACGAGCATAGTGATTGCCCTGAAATTAGAAAAGATGGAATATGTTCAGAATTTTTAAAAATCACTTCATTACCTTCTAAATTGGATTTTATGAAGTTCCATCTTAGAAATATCCATTGTAGGTTTGAGAATAACATTTTTGCAGAAGGCGATAATTTGATCCATTACGTCATCATTTTCAGGTTCGACATCGTACTTTCCTTTAGCGTGGCCTGGAAAAGTCATCGTGTTGAGGTCAAAGAATTGGAGAAGGCGATTAACTTCCACGAGACAATCTGCATTGTTCCGCATCGGACCTTTCAATGTGTCGGCCGAACGAATAAAGTCCGAGTTTTTCATAAGAGGCAGAAAAACCAACTGTAAAAAATATTTGCTAGTTAGCCTCAACCAAATAATAATGATATTATCTAATTACTAGGCACAAATGGTGAGTGCACAAAATTCATTTTAATGGGCTTGGCACTTGTTAACAAGTGTCAAGCAAGAATCACCCATATTAACCTTACACTTGAAAACGAGATGACATGACCGACACTGAACACTCAGGTCACTCAACAAACATAGGATGCTAAAGTTTAAACGATGAAACCTTAGCCCGTAATGCAACACAGACAATTTAAAGTGGTATCAAAGATCCGAATTAAATTGCAGCGTTCTATTGTTATGCCTCATCATCGATCACTATCAAACCATCTTACTTCTTTAGTAATCTGAATGATTTTCATATTCCCTGTAATTTTAGTAGTCTCAATGTAATTTAGAATAACACCATTTTGCTATCATTTGAGAGATAATAATGACGACAAGACCAGACGTCAGTTAAAATAGTCAGAACGAAAATACAAGTGTGGATCCGATTTTAAAGGAATCGCACGATACGATGTAAATGAAAGATTATCAATTCTACTAGGCAAAATTGGTTAGCATGGGGTGTGCGATAGACTTACCTCCACGTGGTGCACCCTGGGCAACGTATACTCATACGGCAAAAAAATTCTATTAACCGGTAGTTGACTTTTGACTTCAAACTACCATCATCCCACTGTATGTCATATTCCATCACTTTTACAGTACTCATCTTACCTTTTCTCTGCCTTTGTGTCTGTCTGTCACCTTTAAATCTGTTAATTATTATTTTTTCTCCCCTCTCGACTTTTTGTCCCTTTGATGTTCCTCCTCCTCTCTCTGTGAATCCCGAAGTCAGCTAAAGGGATAATGATAACTATCAAAACGCCTGCCATTTGAAATAAATGGCAGAGGTAACCGTGCGCATTTTGAAATACTCCACTCAAATCGAAAGAAAATTGTAATAAAATGCAGTGGAACCCTATTTCTTATATCGACTTTTCTTCATGCTCATCAAAGATACATATTTGAGACAATATGACGTGAACGCATCCGCGAACGGACAGTTACCCATGAAGAAATATTTAAGCAATTCCCTGCATTCATATGCCGCTTATTTTTTCACAAAAGTACTTTCTCTAAGCCCTATTAGGTAAATAGAAATGTGCATATGCAACCCAACCAACCATCCGCACTTCACAAAATCTTTCACTCTCCTGACAATTGTCTGATCTCGATAAAGGTATCCGACAAACTTTCTTGTACTAGGAACCAAAAGAGGTTGGAAGGATAATAACTTAGTCATCGTAAGGGGCAGTAGAGTCTAGATTAGATGTAAGATAAGTTTTAACATCTATAAATATATGAACACTTACATTCAGCGTAGCTCAGGCTAAGAGGAAGAGTTATTAGTTGATGCTCTAGGTTTGTGATCAGAAGGAAGTCAGAATGTAGTACCAAAGAGGAACACGACCTCATAACACACTCTCCTTCAACACCAGGAGTTGAAGACCATGGAAGTAAGCAGAGACGGTGACTGTTCGCCTGAAAACCCACAAGAAAATGTGATTTGCGGGAGACGTCTTGTTGGCATTTGAAGGTCACTGAGTAGAGTTGATTGCAAGCAAATGGAAGTCTAGTCGAGGGGGGTGATGGAAGATCGAAGTTGTCATCGATTCCGGACTTTGCAGCTTCTAAATATATATAGAAGGAATACTTTAACACTATAATGATAGTCAAAATGCACATATATTAAGAAGTTAGTCTTTGTGTAGGTGCAATTTATCGAAATAATATGAAACGCAGAGTTTCTTCCCAATCAACCTCAACAATAGATGAGCGTTTTTCGATGGAAACAGTGAAATGCCGACTCTTAAATCTCGAAGAAGAGGTATAAGTTACATTTTAAGATATTATATGCAACAAACTCGTAAACTCTATTTTGGCCACAAAGGATAGATTATAATCTGTAAAGACCCCATAAGATCTTAAATAAATCAAATTTATTCGAAATTAAAGCTTAATCACAATAACAAAAGGGTCACCTCAAGTTACACGGTTGTTCTAAAGAAAAAGTGCAAAAAAATGCATTCACAGCTTTCCTTATATGGGGTTTGGTTCACAAAACAACACAACAACAGAAAATAAAAATACCTTCAAGAGTCTTCAGACTGGCAAAACGTATACAGTCATCAGTTGTTTGAATAGCAATTTCCTCATTTGGACCACACACGAGGCCATTGATAAACGAAGTATCTGTGGCTGGGAGAGAAGCCAAGCGTCTGTAAAATGAGAAATTTAGAAACTATTCTTTGTATTGATTGAACCAGTGTTAACCATAATAGGTAATCCTTCGCTTTTGCAAGACACTTATTAGTGACGTTAAAATAAGTCGTGGTATAAAAAACACATATAGACAAGAGGAATACTTACCGAACATCAAACACAACGGAATGAGCACTAGTGACCTTTGAAAGCATTCCAATGTGCCGTCCATCATTTGACACAAAACAGAGCTTCTCAGAAGATATCCAGTTGGGGTGAAGCAACTGTCCATGGAACATCGTGAATGCAGTCTCATCAGCACAAACCAAAGCATCATCTCTGGATTATAAATAATTTAATTAAAACGATATGAAATTCAATACATATTTGTGTTGAAG